GGTGTTTCAAACAAATGCCACAAAATCAAGAAAGCTAATTAATAATTTCACTTACTAGGCACTGGGTAAAGATACTTTTGTGAAAATGTGAATACTACAGTCACTGTGATGGTCACTATTAATTCAATAACCCAAAAGTCAGGTGACACTTTAACAAACTGGTACACCTCCACTAGAAAAAATTAGGTTGGACACAGGTAACCTGTGAGACTAAACTTGAGCAAATTAGGACATAAAATCATCACATTGACAGCTCACTAGAATGAAGAAACACAGAATAAGAATTCAAGAATCAGGGCAGCCCAAGTGGCTCAGTGGTTTAGCACCACCTTCAGCCCAGGGTATGATCCTGGAGACCAGGGATCGAGTCCCCCATCAGGCTCCCTGCATGGAGCCTGCTTCTCCCTCTTCCTCTCCCTCTGCCTCTCTCTCTTGTGTCTCTCATGAATAAATTTTAAAAATCTTAAAAAAAAAAAAAAAAAAAGAATTCAAGAATTACACGAGTGTAATGAAAAAATCCTTAGAGCTATGTCAAAGGACACATCACAAGACAGTTAGATATGAGCTCTTGATAACAGTGTGTTTCAACTGGCGATGCCAGTCAATATTATCCAGCAAACTTTTTCAAACTTAACATTCCTGGGACCCTTCCCCTGAGATTCTGATTGAATAGGTCCAGGATGGGGTTCAATAAGCTGTTTCTGTTTGTTGAGTGATTTCTTTTCATTCTACAAGTTAATTTTGTGTCAACCTGACTGGGCTAAGGAATGCCCAGATAGCTGATAAAACATAATTTCTAGGTGTAAGGGTGTTTCCAGAAGAGATAAGCATTTGAATCAGACTGAGTAAAGAGGATCACCCCCCCCAGTGCTGGAGGGCCTGAGGAGAAAAAGAGGCAGAAGGGCATATTTGTACTCTTGATTAAAATGGGACACTCATCTCCTTCCTGGATTCTTAGGCCCCAGAGTGAGACCTTTGCTATGCCATTGGTCCCTGGTTAGCAGGCCTCTGAAGACTACAGATTTGGACTGAACTACACCACTGGCTTCCGTAGGACTCCCACCTGTAGATGGAAGATTGTGGGACTTCAGCCTCCATCTGAGCCAATATCTCATAATAAATCTATCTATGTATCTATATATATCTTACTGATTCCATTCTTCTGGAGTATTCCAACGTACACACCAACTGAGAACTGTCCCTCTAAGATTGTACCTCAAACTTGAACCTACATATCACCTACAAAGCTTTTTAAAATAAAATCATCCTCAGTAAAGGTGAGGTGAGGCATTTCTAACAAGTTCCCAGCTGGTGCTGATGACCTCAGTCCTGGTTAGTGGGCCATACATACTGATTGGCATGGCTTGCTTTCAGAGGCCACATTTTACCCATCTGCTTATTCCCCAAAGTGAACAAAGTCAAAACAAGTGGAGAAACACATTCTATTTTCAGATCAGCCTTACAACCAAGGAGGTCATGCTTCTGGCTTTAAGCTAAACAATTTTTTTTTTATAAATTCTATTTATTTATTTATGAAAGACAGAGAGAGAGGCAGAGACACAGGCAGAGGGAGAAGCAAGTTCCTGGCAGGGAGCCTGATACGGGACACAATCCCAGGACCCTGGGATTACAACCTGAGCCAAAGGCAGACGCTCAACCACTGAGCCACCCACACGTCCCAACAATTCGATTTAATATCTGCATTAGAACTTGGAATGTTAAAAAAAAAAAAAAAAAAAAAAAAAGAACTTGGAATGTTTAGGGGCACCTGGGTGGCTCAGTGATTGAGCATCTGCCTTTGGCTCAGGTGATCCCAGGGTCCTGGGATCCGGTCCCACATAAGGCTCCCTGCAGGGCTTCTCCCTCTGCCTATGTCTCTGCCTCTCTCTGTGTGTCTCTCAGGAATAAATAAAATCTTTAAAAAAAACAAAAAAAGAACTTGGAATGTTAAGAGTTAATGAATTAAGATAAGAGGCACTGAAAATATGTAAAAATTAAGAGTAACTTAAGAGCTTTTTACAAATTGGAACATTAAGAGAAAAATCATATTTTCTTTCAATAAAGTGATTTTTCTGTCTCCAAGGCAGACAACATGGATTACCAACCATCCCAGAATCATAGAAGGGGAAGGTTACTACTCAATGCTGACTCATCCTTGTGTACAAATTTCACTTTTTATATCACATTAAAACTAGCCATATGCAATATAAATATTTCATAAATAGCTAATGAAGAGCCTAACAATCAATAAACTTCATCATGCAAATGTAAGCAGCAACATGTATATTCCTGGTGGGATCCAGCTGCTGTATTTACAATTAGACTTAAGTAGGAAGAGCAAAAGAACTTTTCATTATGAAAGTACTTTCACAATGCCAAAGACAACCTGTCTGATATCCCTATTTGTTAACCAAACAAGGCTTAAATCTCAAATCCTCCTTGAAATCAGACCTATACAAATGTCATTGCAAAAATAAATAGGCTGATGCAACAGATGACATCAGTTGGAGCTGTGTTTACAGATCTATCAATCTTAAGCATAAGCCTTGACCTTAACAATAAGCACTGTGTCATACTCTTTGTATTTGTGTGTTAAGCAAACTTGGATAGAAGAACTAATAAAACTTCCTAATCTCTCTTCCCCCCCCAAGATTTACAACCCTGTGCTGAACTAAGTTAGGTACCTGCTAATTACTCTCATTATACTCATTACATCTTTGAAGAGTAATTAGTAGCACTTATTTATAATAATCTCATTATATTAATTGGGGGAGGGGTTCTCACTCACCTAACGTGGAACTCCATGAGGGCAAACACACAGTACTGGTCACTGGAATGGCGCCAGCCCCTAGCAGGGCACCAGTAATTATTGACAGGTTAGGTGATTCAAGGAATAAATGGATGAATGGTGTCTAAAACACAGTAGAGGGATCCCTGGGTGGCGCAGCGGTTTGGCGCCTGCCTTTGGCCCAGGGCGCGATCCTGGAGACCCGGGATCGAATCCCACATCGGGCTCCGGGTGCATGGAGCCTGCTTCTCCCTCTGCCTATGTCTCTGCCTCTCTCTCTTTCTCTCTCTGTGACTATCATAAATAAATAAAAATTAAAAAAAAAAAAAAACACAGTAGATACCCAAAAAATGTTCATGGAATTAATTAACAAGAAAGGGCTTATTTTCTAATTTCTTTATTACCAGACATAGGAAACTCTATGTAACATAAATCTTAAAGTAGACACTGCAAATTCCACTTACATCAATAAAGCTTACCTCTGTGACATCTGCAACAATTTACACACCAGTGTCACCAGCATAGTGTGGCTGTGACTGGTGCTTAAATCAAAATGTTCTATTCTATTCTCTCTGTCAATTTATCTTTCACCTCTGGACCTTCGCACTTACCAGCATACCCACTTATAATACAGAGAGCTAAAGAGATGGCAATCCCTGTTCTAAAACACTGAATTTATTTCATTCCCTCACTTCAAAAAAATTAAGTCTCTCTCACAGCTGTGGTAGCTCTTGCTGATCTCTGAATCTAGTTTGCTTCTTTTCCTTCAGAGCACTGACTAATGAACTTATCACCATGGGCAAACACCCCTATTCAATGTCTTTGCCTTTCATCATTAGCCACACAGACTCCGGAAAGTCCACCACCACCAGGGAACTAGCTCTTCTATAAGCATGGAGGCACGGATTTAAAAAAACTGAGAAGTTCAAGGAGGAAGCAGTAGCTTTGAGCAAGAGCTCCTTCAAATATGCCCAGGTGCTGGACAAGCTGAAGGTGGAGGGAGAGTGCAGCATCACCACTCACGTGTCCCTCCGACGGTCTGAGACTAGCAAACATTCTGTCACCACCACCAATGCTCCAGGCCCTGGGGACTTCATCAAGAATGTGATCACTGGACATGCAAGGCCAAGTGCGCTGTGCTCATCATGGCAGCAGCATGCTCAAGTTCAAAACAGGCAGCTTCAAGAAAGGCAGACCCTCGAGCACACACCAGAACCTAGACGTGGGGCCTGAAGAAGCTTGCGGCTCATGATGGCTGCCAACGAGAGGGGCTTTGCCAGGCCTACAGACAGCGCCATGCACTTCCAAATCATTAGGAAGTGAGCGCCCACCTCAGGAAGCCTGGCTACTCCTGACCACCGGAGCCTCTGTGCCCAGTTCAGGCCGGTACAGCAACAACATGCCCTGGCTGGATGGTCAGGAGGACAAATGAAACGTCACTGGGGTGACTCTGCTGGAAGTCTCTGGACTCTACTCTCCCATCCAGTCAACAAGATGTGTACAAGATCAGAGGTACTGGCACTGTGCCTAGAGGCCAGGTGGAACTGGCTTCCTGAAACCTGGGAGGGTGGTCACCTTTGTCCCCACCAACCTCACCGGAGGTCAGGTCTGTGGAGGTGCACCACGAGGCCTGTTGGAGGCCCTGCTGGTGACAATGTGGACTTCAGCAGGAAATATGCGTCGTAAAGGATGTGCCTCGTGCAGATGTGGCTGGAGACAGCAAGAATGATTGTTCCCATGGAGGCTGGCAGCACCATGGCACAGGTGAGTCTTAAAGCAGCCCAGGCAGATCGATGCTGGCATGCCCAAGCGCAGGACTGCCCTAAGGCTCACATCTCCTAAACTGTGGGGAAAAGACTGATCAGCTCTCAAGCAAGAGGCTGGAAGACGAGCCAAAGCCCTGGAGCCTGGTGATATGGCCACTGTGTACACGGTCCCCAGCAAGGCCATGTGTGTGGAGACCTTCTCTAGGCCGTTTCGCTGTGCGGGACATGAGACAAACGGTGGTCCTTGGAGTTATCAAGGCAGTAGATAAGAAGTCATCCCCTGCCAGCACAAGGTCAATGGTAGTGAAGCATGTCAATGGTAATGAAGCATGTCCTCTGCAGTATCTTCAGCAATCTTCACTATAAAAATAACTTCACATCGTGCATATTTACTGAGTAAGGTTAATAAAACTTAAATAGCTGGAAAAAAAAATTAAAAGCCTCACCATTGCTAGGTGTCTCTAGAGACTCCTTTGAAGGGCTTCTCTGGTCTTCCTTTTCCTCAGAATTTTCCCTGGACTTTGACAGCCGTTTTCTTAGAGACGTCTTCTCTTCGCCCACCATTGTACTGTCTAGGAAGGAAGACATGAAAAGCTTTTGTTGGAGATGAAACTTTTCCCTTCTTCCCTTCTAGGTTTCTGGATTGATCTGGTAATCATACTGACATAAGACAAATTAACAGGAGAAAAAACACATTTAATTTCGTAAGAGAGACCATAAAAATAATGGGACTCAAAGAAGTGACCAAAGCAGGCAATGCTATATCTTTTCAGACAAAGAAACAATATATGTGTGAAGACCTGCTAAGACAAAGGGGTTTAGACTTGGGGTAGTCAATTACTGAAGAAGTCATAAGACTTGTTAAACAGCCTTCGTAGCCTGAAATTCCTTATGTCTGATGACAGGGGATGTCTTCTACCCTCCTGCTAGGGAGGGTATGTTTCACCTGGGAGATTTTCTTCCTGTTTTCAGGAAGACAAAGGAGGCTCAGAGCGTCCTCCTTGCACTGGATGTTCTTAAGTAACTTTGATTCAAAATAATCAATATGACAAAGTGGCACATTTTGGGGTGGCATATTTTGCTCCCCTTCACTTTCACTTTGCAGATATGACTTAGGCAAATGTCACACTATCACCATATTTGAGGTGAAAAATGACATACTTTCTTCCTTTTGTTTTACCTTAATCATATTTAAGCATTTTCTGAGTACAACATACTATAACAAATTCAAAGAAATTATTCTTTATAAAATACCTGGTTTCTATGGTCCTTATCTAAACAAAAACCCCATTCTTAAAGAACAGTTTAGTTGAACAAGACATAAGTATATGAAAAATTAAGAATTATATAACCAAAAAAAAAAAAAAAGAATTCTATAACAAGGGGTGCCTGGGTGGTGCTGTCGGTTGAGTATATGACTCTTGGTTTAAGCTCAGGTCATGATCTCAGATCCAAGAGATCAAGCCCCACATGGGGCTCCATGATCAGTATGGAGCAGCTGGAGACTCACTCTCCCTCTGCTACTCGTGCATACTCTCTAGTAAATAAATCTTTAAAAAAAAACTAGATAACAAAAGATAAGTACAAAGATGTCACAAGTAGAGTACAATTAACAGTCAAGTCAATGGTAAAAACAATACATGAAGTTTGGAAACAGAAGAGATCATGGAGAGACGTAAAGGTATCACAGAAAAGAAGGTATTTGGAGTCCTGAATAATGAGAACAGAGCACCCACAGATGAGAACGCATTAAAACAAGGTCCTTCCAAGCCCAAGGGGGGAGGGGGGAATGATCCGACTACTTTACTAGAGAATAGGATAACAAGCTTTTGTTGAGTAGCTAAAAACTCAAGGACTCTCTTGGGTGCTTTAAGTTTTCTCACCTAATCATTTATAACTGCAAAAAAGAGGTTATTAATCACAGTTCACATGTTAAAAAAAAAAAATCAAAGCTCAAACAACTTACTGTCAATGCCCTCTGCCCACACACCAGGAACATTCCTACAGCTGAACAAGTTTAGTTTATTAGATCACATGCCAAGGGAAACAACGGGAATTTCAGAATATCAGAAATGATTTATTCAGGATTTGGGAATTGGCTAGATGAGTTTTTGGGAGAGTCCAGAGAAGCAGAGGTTCACTCTGGCCTGAGTGCAGCCAGAAAGTAGGAACAATTCTATGACTGGGTAGATCAACAAATCTCTATAGGGAGGCTGAAGCTGTAACCAAAATAACAGCAACAGTCATTCACATTATAGCCTGTAGGGAGGGGTATTGGAGATTTTGACTTGGACCATGTTCACGTTTTGTCTAGGTCAAGACATGAGTACGGCATGTTCCTGTTTTGGTCTTGATCCATCAGGTCTTGATGCTGATACTCAGTGAAATTGTTTGTGTTCAATGCAAGAACACCAAGACGACCCAGAGGCTAAGTGCCAGGCTAGCTCATGGCAACATCAAGGCCTAGCTGATACCAGCACAGCTCTGGGATGCCAAGGTCTGCTTTTCTTCTCTTGACAGTAACTTGCCCAAAACCACACAGGGCCAGATTTGAACTTGGGCTAGATCCAAACCACAAACACCATTAACTCTCTTAATTTTTTTTTTAAGTTGTTAACAGAGAAATGTGATGAGGGAAAAGACTAGAAAGGAGAGCTACAGTTAAACTGAAAAGGCCTAAGAGGGATCCCTGGGTGGCGCAGCGGTTTAGCACCTGCCTTTGGCCCAGGGCGTGATCCTGGAGACCCGGGATCGAGTCCCACGTCGGGCTCCCGGTGCATGGAGCCTGCTTCTCCCTCTGCCTGTGTCTCTGCCTCTCTCTCTCTCTCTGTGTGTGACTATCATAAATAAATAAAAATTAAAAAAAAAGAAAAAAGAAAAAAGAAAAGGCCTAAGAAAGGAGGACTTTTTTTCAGTTAGGCAGTGGTGAGCCATTCATTCTAAGCAAGGAAAAATATGATCACAGTCAAATTTTTGGCAGATTGATATGAACACAGTACAAGGTTTACTCCAAAGCCGTGTTTTATTATGTTTTCATTAGTCTGAAGAAAAAAGAAAAATAATGAAGTACTCAGTACATTATTTTTAAAGCTACGTATTTTTCAATTCTATTATTATGGGCTTTCTAAATTTTTATGTTAAAATGTCCTTTCTAGTATGAAATGTAGTACACGATGCATTTGGTTGTTTCCTTAAGTATCACTGCTTAGCAATGTAACAATGTGAGTAATCTAGATCATTTCCCTTCTAATTTTTTTCAGAAATCAAACAAATGAACCTTATTATGGAACAGCAAATGAATACCTCAAGTCAAAATGTTAGGAGACCAATAAGATTCAATTCAGAGGAACCTAGGAAAGAGGTCAGGGCAACTGATAAAAGTGCTTTGTGTAACAGTGACAGAGGAAGCCAGAAGAGCATTTAACTCTCCAGCAGAAAAGATGAGGAGGACACCTGAGTCGAACAGTGGCTGAGCATATGTCTTTGGCTCAGGGTGGGATCCCGGTCCCAGGATTGAGTTCCTCATCAGGCTCTTCCTGTGGGGTGTCTGCTTCTCCCTCTGCCTATGTCTGTCTCTGCCTGTGTCTCTCATGAATAAATAAATAAAATCTTAAAAAAAAAAAAAAAAAAACTAGGGATGTCCTCCAAGTAAGACATCAGCAAGTAGAGATCAGGGAAGAAAACAACATAAAGCCGCAAAAAGAACCAAGATGTTTCAAAAAAGGAAGGAACTGTACAGAGGGTAACTCGCAATTAAAAAGTAAGAACTGGGGATCCCTGGGTGGCGCAGCGGTTTGGCGCCTGCCTTTGGCCCAGGGCGCGATCCTGGAGACCCAGGATCAAATCCCACATCGGGCTCCCGGTGCATGAGGCCTGCTTCTCCCTCTGCCTATGTCTCTGCGCCTCTCTCTCTCTCTCTATCATAAATAAATAAAAAAATCAAAAAAAAAAGTAAGAACTGTACTTTTTGCATCTAAACAGGGATGTGATGGCGACTATACTTGTGCATGTTTATGTGCTTTATGTGTATTTTAATCTCAATATAATCTGTAAGGCAAATATGTTATTTCATTCCCCAATACTGTCTTTGGTTACCATGTCTTCCCAAATATTCCTTCCTGTCTCTAGAAAGCTTTCTCCCCTGCCCCTTATATAGCTAACCCTACTCAGCCTTCAAAGGGTCAGAACAGCAGCAGTAGAAACAGCAGTAATAACAGCTTTGACTTAATGAGCAGTTACTGTGTGCCTGCCAGACACTGTACTGCTAAGTCCTTTGTTTTCAATCTCTACAACCATTACGAAGACAGGTATTATCCTCATTTTACAGGTGAAAAAAATATAGTTTAGAGGGAATTTAACTTGCCCTGAATCATACAGTTCTCCAACAGCAGAACTAAGATCCAAAACTGGACCCAGGGATTCCATAGCCTAGGCTGTAATCACCAGACACCTTGAATGATCTCCTGTGCTAAGGTTTGATAGGGCATCATCTCTCACGTCATCCCCCTCTGTGGCCCCACTGCACTCTGTACATCCCATTACACCACTACACTCAGCAACGCCGTCTGCCTCTTAAACTAAGCATAAGGTTCCCCAAGACAAGAACAACATATTTTCTCTTTGAAACCCTCAAATCTAGTGGGGGAGTAGCTGAAACATGATAGGCATGCATTAGTACAGACCTATCAGTTAATACAACCAATTTTCTAACAGAGTTCTCTCACATAGAGAATCAGGAGGCAAACATAAGCTGGGAGGATGACAACCAACACCATCTTTACTGTTAACAGCTTTCTACATACATCCTACTCAACAAGATCTATGACAAGTGTTCTTAATCAGGGGTGGGGAGGGGTCCCCTAGACTTCTAAGGGTATGCAAAAACTTCAAATATTTCAATAATTTAAATAATTATACATTTTATCACATAAAGCAACTTGTACAGGCTGACTAAAACACTGTTACTTTTGGCTCTGAGACTAAATCTTGTTGATTATTTTATGTTGATTAACGGGGCGCCTGGGTGGCTCAGTCAGTTGAGCATTTGACGCTTGATCTCAGCTCAGGTCTTGATCTCAGAGTTGTGAGTTCAGGCCCCACCCTGAGCTTCATGTTAGGCGTGGAGTCTACTTTTAAAAAGGTGAAAAAAAGGGCAGCCCCGGTGGTGCAGCCCAGGGCATGATCCTGGAGACACTGGATGGAGTCCCACGTCGGGCTCTCTGTATGATGCCTGCTTCTCCCTCTGCCTGTGTCTCTGCCTCTCTCTATGAATAAATGAATAAAATCTTAAAAAAAAGTGAAAAAAATACTTCATAAAACAAGTTTGACAAATAGATGCTATTTAACAAGCAAAGAAAAAAAAACAAACAAACAAAAAATTAAGCCTGGGTACCCCAGAGAACAATGAAAACATTAAAGTTCTTGGTTATGAGACCAGGAGCCAACAACCCAGTCTAGACAAGAAAGCCTTACTTCAAAAGCCAAAACACCGGTACTGAGTCTGCACGATTACACTGCCATAGTTTAAAGCTACTTATTTTAGAAGTGAGCCAAAGAAGAAAATGTTAACTCT